GGGGTATTGGGGGGGGAAATAAAGGAGTAGAACATGGAGAAAGTGAGATGATTAAGAGAAAAAATACACCCCATAAATAATTATGAGGGATCGAGGCTCAAAGAGCAAGAGATTATTTTGTCGAGTTGGTGTTCTGACGGAAAGACAGCATTCATGAGTCTCGGAGCTGTTGAATACGCAACAATAATCGTGTTTTTAAAACCTTCGTCATATTGTCTTTAGTTTTTTTGTTTTGATGATTTGTGTGTTGATTTTTTTTAGTTTTAACTACTCCTGTATTTGTCTTGGGAGGAGAGTGGTTGGTTTGGTGGGCGGGTGTAAGGGCGTTGGGAGGGGGAGGGACAGGGGTGGGGTAATAAAAGGGAGGATGAGGGGAGGGGGAGGGGAGGAGGGTGTATCACGGCGATAGATTCTGATAGAGGTAGACTGTTGTTGTTGTTGTTGTTGTTCTTATTGTTGTTATTGCTGCTGCTATTGTTCTTGTTGCTCGTGTTATTATTGTTATTCTTGCTGTTGTTATTGCTGTTATTGTTGCTATTGCTGTTGTTGTTGTTGTTGTTGTTGTTGTTGTTATTGTTGTTGTTGTTGTTGTTGTTGTTGTTGCTGTTGTTGCAGACTGACGCCACCAGAAAACATTCTAAATTATTTTGAAGGAACACTAAGCCTAGCGAAGAAGGATTTCAGGAAAGACAAGGGAAATAAATCAGAAACCAGAACGAGATTTGACCCGCGCCCTTCCATGTCTTGCAGTCATTCCATGGGCCTTGTTGTAGAAGTATTTTATAGGCCATGTTATAGAACTATGTTACAGGCCATGTTATAGAACTATGTTATAGGCCACGGTTTCGTCGAGTCATCTAACGGTTTGGCCCAGTTTTGGAGCGTTGTGAGGCCACAAGGTCACTGGCACGGAAGTGGAACCTTGTGTGGGAACAATGGACCATGAACAATGAACAAGAAAGAACCATTTTTAAACAACTTTTAAAAAATATTTTACGTAGGCCGATGATGAAGATTGATCGCTGTGAGGTACGCTGCTGTCGCCCTGTACAGGTAATGAACTATCGATGCATTTGATTCAAAGGGAACCTCGTAAAGACCGGATTTTCTCATTGACGAATGTGCTAATTTTTTTAAAAATTGGTGATAAGGTTCATTTTTTTATACGAGAAAAAATTTGATGAAATATCAAACTGATTTTTACTAAAGAATATTTAGAGATGTGTCTTAATGAATATTTATGACAATGTCTAAAAAAGAAATCACGTCGAAAGACACCAATGTTCATCAATGTAATGAGAGTTTTACGTCACTTGCAATCCAATTTGGTCATTTATAGGTGACAAAAATTAGAGTTGTTACTGGAGGTGAACATACAGGGAAAAGAAGGAGGAGACAGAAGGACGATAGATGTTTGATAGGAAATCATCTACGAAGAAAGAAATCTGAAGAGACTAACTAAGACGTCATCATTTACAGTGTTCGTGGACGGGCTAATCTGTCAACACCCCCTTACAGTCGTCAGTGTGGGTGTGAGTGGGTGGATTCTCCTCCTTAAACACACACGGGGGAGAGGCAGTGAGAGTGTATCCAGAGAGAAAAATGCCAGACAGAGAGAGAGGGA